GCCAGCCTCTTTCCCACCTCCAGACCACTGTGTGCTGTGTCTCCCTTCTCAAGTGCCTTGCCTCCCATTCTTTCAGGCGTGGGGAATCTCAGGCCTGCCCATGGGCTACATAAGGCCAGTGCAAACATGCGGTACACCTCCCAGGACAAGACCTATATGTTTTCCATTGGTTGTTAAGGCCTGTCTGTATTTTGTATGGTTCAAGAATGATGTTTTAAATATCCAAATGATCCCTGGTTAAAAAAATATATACCCCTATGTGGAGGCTAATTCTCTCAACTTTCAGTTTCACCTCAAAGGTCAACTCATCAGGCAGATCTTGCCCAATGTCTTTATCTAAAGTGCCTCCTCTAATCACTGTCTCTCATTATGCATGTTCCAAAAGGCACTTACTACATCTATAATCATCTCATTTCTTTGTTCATACCACACACTCCCCCCTTTTAAATAGAAAGCAGCAGGACAATCACCAATCTTGTCTTTCCAGGTAGCAAGTGGACACATCATCAGGGATGACAGCGTCTCTCCTTGATCAAACTGTAGTCAGGTTCCTCTGAACCTTCTTCTTGACTGAGGCCTTGGCTTATAAAAGTATCGATTCTCCTCAGAAAATAATTGCCTGTGCCTACATTCTTCAGAGTTTTCCCTACGTTTCCTTTAAAGCTTCAGATCTTACATTATGATCTTTGATACATTTAAAGTTCGTTTTTTTTTGTACAGGGTAGGAGATAAGGGTATAGTTTCAGCCTTCTGAATATAGATAACTTTCTAAGCAGCAAGAAGAAGCTGTGTTTTCTCCAGGCTGTTTTGTTTTGGCTCCACTGTCTAAGAACCCAATTGCCCAGAAATAAGAGAGAACTGACAAATAAAAATGTTTCTACACAGAAAAAGAAACAAGTACTAAAGGCAACAGATAACTCATGAGACGGAAGAAAATCATGGATCAGGGACTAAATGGATACAAGATTAATACTCAGAATTAACAATGACATAAAAGAAATTTCAAGTATAAAGAAACAAATAAGTCAATTAATTAATAGGCAAATGAACTGGACAGATAGTTCTCAGAAGAAACACAACTGACAAATAGATACATGGAAATGTTTAACATCCTTAGCCACAAAGGAAATGCAAATCAAAACTACATTATGATGCCATTTTACCCCAGTCAGAATAGCAATCATCAGAAAAACAACAAATGTAGTGAAGGTCCAAAGGAAAAGGAACCATCATACACACTGGTGGGAATGTAAACTAGTGCAACCACTATGAAGATCAGTATGTAGACTTACCTTATGACCTCATCATCTCATCCATGAAGGAATATAAATCAATATATAAGAAAGATACTGTATAACCGTGTGATTGAAACTGCTCATAACAGTAAAACTGTGGAATGGGCTAAGGTACCTTAGTCAACAAATGGAGAAGAAAAACATTTGGTATATACATACCATGGAACATTACTCATCCATAAATGAAAATAACACTATTTTCATGAAAATAGATAAAACTAGAGATCATGATATTGGGTTTCTTATATAAGCCAAATATTGTATGTGTTCTCTTATTTGTGGAATGTAGATACACAGCATGTAGATATATGCATACCTACACATGCACCCCCACACACATATACATATCATGATTGTAACTGTGGGACTGTTCAGAGGTTATGGGAAAGGAGAGGTGACAGTGAAAGAGAATTATGGGACAAAAACTGTAAAATTATACATGGTATCTATATGTGAAAATGGCATAAGGAACCATTGAAAGCTGTTGAGCAGTAGTGGATAAGAGGGAGGAGAAAAGAGAACAGTAAGGAAGGTTAATTTGACTAAATTATAATAAATACATGTCAGAAACATTATGGCAACCCCCTTTGGACAATTAATATACAATCCCTTATTTGCAATAACTAGTCTATGTCTGAGACAAGCAGAAAAGGTCAGATAAGTTGATGTTAAGTAAAATGAACCCAAGTCAAGGATTCAAATGTTTTTTTCTTGCTTGCTATTGTGTCTAACATATTTATAAGATATTTCTTTGTTGTTTGTATGTCCCTCCCTCACAGTATAACCCCTGTTTTCACTGTATTTGATGTTGGTATAATTTGTGGAGGGGAAGGGCAAAAACAAATCATTTAACTAGGGATACAGGTGGACCCATTGCAACAATGAGATGTTCAAGATGTTATGTTGAAAATGAACTTTACAACTTTGGCACGTGGGGAGGGAGGATGGGAAGGGGAAACAAAGGAGGAGGCAACAATGCTTGATAAGAAATTCACTCATTACCTTGCCCGTATAAATTGTAACCCCTCTGTACAGTATTTGCACAATTAAAAAAAAAATCCACGGCGGGGGGGGGGGGGGGGTTGGGAGAAGAAAGTGAAAAATGAATTACAGAAAATTAAGACCAGCTGTTCTGGGAACAAGCACCAGCGGGACATGGAGAGGGTGAATAAGTATGAATGTAATTGAAGTTATTTTATATGCATGTATGAAAGTAGAACACTGAAACCTGTTAAAATTGTTTTAAGAAGGGCAGAGGAGAGATGAAGGGGGCGGTGGAGGGATGAATGTATCAGGGTACATTGAATGGGTGTGTAGGAATGTTACAATGAAATCACTAGTATATGCTAATAAAAAAAATCTTTGATTCTCAACACCAATCATTTCCTAGCTCCACAGTTGGAGCTGTATTCTGGGAATGGCCCCCACAAACAAGCCTGCTTGAAAATATCCTTAATCTGCCAATATAATTTATTGCTTATTCTAGCCAAGAGTTGAAGATGGCCCCTGACCATTTCCACAGCATTTACTAAAAGGAGCCTTATTACTTTGAATCCATCTTCTGAACCTTTGAGATATACCAGTATTTCCTAAAACTCACTGTCTTTCTTAGGGACCTGAAAGTCATTTCTTTGTCATGTAATCACCAGAAAGCATAGCCACAGTCTGGTCTCTCAAGCTCTCTGAAGGAACAGAGTCTTAACTCCCTCCATTTCCAGCTAGCAGACGCAGCTGGCCTCGGGACATTTACACTGACCATTCCTGTGTCACCTGTCCTTCTCTGAGCTACCCAGCCCCCTCTATTCTCATTCTCTTTATTTTCATTCTCCTATTTTCACATCTAGTAATCTTTGTACAAACTGCAGTGAGTGTACCACACACACACACACACACACACACAGTTTTATAGATTTAAAATTTGTCCTTACAACTTTCATGTCTTGCTTTAATTCTGACCACAGCCTCTGACACATGGTAAATGCTCAACATTAAGTCTTTGCAGGAATAAAAAAAAATTAGTAACAGTAATAAAGAATGCTTCATCAATTTTCTTGGGAGGATTTTCTTTTTCTTTTCTTAAAGTCAGCAGGCATCAAGGGTATTTTATCCATTACAATTTATCATCATTTTCTAGAGCTTTTTTTCTCCACAGAGTTCCTATTTATCTGAGATAGGATACTAAGAATGGGACAATTATATATGTGTATTTTGTCAGTATTGCTGCCTTTCTGTAGATTTATGATCCAAAAAAAAGAACTTGAATCCCTAAACCAAGGAAAATGTACATACAACTCTATGAATAAATTCTGGCACAACTTGGAAGGAAGGTAAGGATAGGAATTAACAGAAAAATGAGGACAATTTCAGAGAAACATAGCTTTAGGTTAAAGGAACCATAATAGCTGCTGTCTGATGCTTACAGGGCTGTGGTAAGATTAACACATAACAAACATGATAATAATGTAAAACAGCACTGACCGCTTCTGGCAAATAGCTAGGCATCAAGTCTTCTGGCCATAAAAATACATTTATTGATGTACATCACTTAGTGCTTAATTCAAAGGAAATGTTAATTGAGGTAATACATGGAAAGGTTTGTTATATTTTTTTTTACTAAAAATATTTACCAGCATGGTTTATAGTAGCAGGAAATTGAAAACAAACTGAAGATCCAAATTTAAAGGACTAGTCAGATAAATACTAACTCATCCGACTGTATATTTTGTGAGAGGAAAGAGTCAGGCTGCATGTCAACACTGGGGACAATTGCTACATGCAATGCCAGGACAGCAGCAAGAGAAATCAGCAGAAAATATATATACATATAAAAGTGTGTGTGTGTATATATTTATACACATAAAAGTAAAAGCTAAGTAAAACTAGAATATGGAAAATTATCAGTTGGTAGCTTATTCAGGAACTAGATCTATGAGTGGCATTTTTAATCTTTCTATTTTATACACTTTTATTAAATTTAATATTTAATTATGAAAATATATTTTACATGTTATCAAAAGGGAACATTATTTTTGTCACTTAGTTTATCTATCCATCTGTCTATCCATCTGTCTATCCATCTGTCTATCCATCCATCTATCTATCTATCTATCTATCTATCTATCTATCTATCTATCTATCTATCTATCTATCTATCTATCCATCTATCTATCCATCTATCTATCTATCTATCTTGAACTCAAGGCCTGGCTTTTTCACTTGAGGCTAACACTCCACAACTTGGACCACACCTCCACTTTTATTTTTTTTTCTTTTCCTTTTTGGTGGTTAATTGAAGATATGAGTCTCCTGGACTTTCCTTTCCTGCCTAGATTGGCTTCACACTTTGATCCTCAGATCTCAGCCTCCCCAGGAGCTAAGGTGTGAACCACAGGCTCATGGCTTGTCACTTAATTTCTTAAGAAATAGATTTCTGAAGAGTTTCTTTTCAAAAAGTTTTAAAATCACATAAAGTTTAAAATCATTAATTAATTCATTTTCCAAGAAAGGTGTACATTTTAATTTTTAAGTTGTTAGTTAAAAAGGAAACAAAACAAGAAAACATAAAGCCAAGCAATCTGGAAAAAGCTATTTTTTCCCAAAAAAAAACAACAAATTTAGGCCCAAATAAATGTAGCAAATTTTAGACATTAGTTAATGCCAAAGCAAGCATGAATAGACAAACAAACATAGTGGCTTAGTACTCACCGGTATGCAATACTCCACCATCGGGTAATGTAATTTGTGACCTTTCGCTGTCCGACCAGAAAAAAAGCAACTTTGGCAGACATCATAGTTAAAATGTTTTAGGCTTCTATACCTAGGGGGGGGGGGAAATCACTGGCTTCAATTCTTGTTACTTAGTCCAAATCAATCATTTGTGGTAAGGAATTTCATTCATTTAAATTACCCAGAGAATAAAAGGTACATTTGCCACAAGTATGGAATTTGCTCAGTAGTCCAGTTCCAAGTTAGGAACAAAGAGAAGCCACGTCTCCAACGTGGGAAGGATGAAAAGGTAAAATTTTGTAGCTTCAGTTTCTAAAACGCATTTCCATTTGTTTAGACATGATGAGGGGACACACGTCTGAGTCAGAAGACATTATGTGATGCTGAATAGGAACAGAACAGGATGGAGGGACAATAATGGGTCTCGGAGTGCCCACTTCGGCACTGTGCCTGCAGGAAAGGTCACTCACTAACCCTCAAATTCACTGAGCTGACTATGAAGTAGACATTTGTGACCTTGATGAAAGCATATCCACATGTAGTAAACATCCCTTGGATCTCAGATTTCATTAAAATTTAATTTAGAAGTAATTAGTAAAAAACTAGTTGTATTATAAAAGATAGATATCTCACATGAAAGTATGAATGTACTTTAGAACATATACTTTATATACATAGTATTTAAAGTATATATAGTTTACATATATAGCATATATAATATACAAAGGGAAGGAGGGAGGGAAGTAGGGGTGAAGATGAGAGGGAAGCATGGAGGGAGGGAAGAAGGGAAAGAAAGGATGAGGAGGATGAGGTGGTGGTGGTGGTCGTTGTCATCTGGGAACAAACCCTGCCCACAGACCCGACATTCTGATTTTGAAATGTTAAGGACAAACTTCAGCAGCACTTCTCTTCACAACAAACCTGGCAGAAGTAATCTCATTTCTTGTCAGCTCATCTTTAAACAGTATTTCCTGCTTACTGGGTTGGATACTAAAGACTTACAAGGTTCACCAAATTCCAGCAAGCCTGTATGCCTACAACTCATCATGCAATTATGCTGCCTGAGCATTTCTATGACCTAACTACATTGAAGTTCATTTAAAGAAAAAAAAAAGGAAGAAAGAAAGAAAAATAACCCTTTGGTGTTTTTTTTAAAATCAAAGTAATATAAATAATAATGATGATAATAGTAGTGGAATAAGTTCCCACAGTGACTGTAAGAAGGAATGGGATATGATGAGCATGCCTTATATTTAGGAGACAAATCCTCAAAGGGAATAAATAAGGAGGAACTACAAATAAAAGCACAAGACCCCACAAGGAGAGAAGAACACGCGCACTGCCAGCACCAGAAGGGCTTCTTACCTGAATCCAACAATCGGACATTCTTTGCAGATGTTGCACTTGGCCTGATGTTTTGCAGTCTCAGCTGCTGCCACTCGATGCAGAACCGGCAGCCACACCATGGACTGTGGCTCCAAACGCATCCAGTCTATAAACTCTTTCACGCTGATTTCTGGCTTGTTGTTATTCTGATTTAAAAACAAATATATATTTAAAGAAACTATGAAGTGAAGACTCACTACTAACCTTACCAACTTGAAGGCCATTTTCTAAACCGAGCCAAGTGACAGTGGCTCATACTTGTAATTCTGGCTGAAATCTGAGGATCATTGTTCAAAGCCAATCTAGGCAGGAAAGTCCATGAGACTCCTACCTCCAATTAACACCAAAAAACAACAAGTAGAACTATCGCTCTACTGGTAGAGGACCAGTAAAGAAAGAAAAGAAAACCTAACCCAAAGATGTTATTTTGTCACATACCATTTTGGGGCATCACATTAGGAAGGCGATTTGCTTTGAATGCACTATGTAAAATTCACAAGTTTATCATGATAAACCATATGAGACTTGCCATTTCTGAGCTCTCCCTCTCCCCCCTTCCCCTTCCTTTCAGTGTTTGTGTCAAAAATCTCACCTTGTAGGCCAGGCTGGCCCTGAACGCAATCTGCCTGCTCCACTCTCCACAGTACTAAGATCTTAGGTTTCTTAGGCATCTATTACCATGCCCAGACAGACACTCAATTCCTCTTTGAATCCTAATTCTGAGTAAGTTCTATATGTACAGAGTTAAATCTCCACCATCACTCTCCTGCTGTTTTTGAGGTCATTCGGTGAGCCAACATATGTGACTATAAATCATATTTGGGGGAAAAAAAGTCATTGGGTATTTTTTTATTTCTAAAATAAGAAAAAGGTCCATTATAAAATGTAATAACCCATGACATCGATTCTCCTCAAAGATACAGTGTGAGCAAATTTTTTTCTCAGCAGTGATAAATCATGGGGCTGTGCTCTGGCCAAATATCTGTAGGTTGTACTTTATGCATATGTATGACACGAGTAATATTTATAAAGTGTCTTCATAGTGTGAGCATTAAAAAGAAAACTACTTTCCCAGGTGAAAATGAGCAACTCAGACTGGTATAAAACTTTTCAAATCATTCTCCCTTTGGGTATACATTCTTAAAGAAAAGTTTGCTACAAACTACAAAGAGCACCAAGATATTTTAATTCATTTATTTAGCAAATATTTGAGGTGTTATGCACTTATTAACATTTAACCCCCAAGGGGATGGATGCCATGAGTGGGTGGGGGTGAGGGTGGAAGGGGAGTAGGTTAAGGGGGTGAGGTCCTCATGGCTGAGACTGGCATCCTTTAACAGGGATCTAGGAGATCTGACTTATACCTTCCCCATGTGAGAACACAGTAAGGAAGTACTGCTCATGCGGTGGACCCTCGCCAGACACCAGATCTGAGGGCAGAGCTTGACTGAGTGGACTTTGCAGCCTCTAGAGCTGAAGACTGAGTTTCATCAGGAATACATAAGCCACACTGCTTACGATGTATTGTGTTAGCAGCCTGAGCTAAGATTGGACAGAAAAGAAAATAAGACCCAGCTCTTGTCTTCATGGAGGCATGGAGGCTGCAATAGCAATTAATTATCTAATTTAACATGAAATCTGAACTATCATGAGGAGGAGAAGGAAGACACAGATGATGTTAAGCTGAATAGAAGAGGGAGACATTCATCTGAAGAAAAGAGAAGGATGTTGACAGGATCTGAGAGATAAGCTAACATCTCAAGATTCAGTAGGATGAGTGGAAGAGCAGGAAGAACATTCTAGGGAGAAGGCACATGTTCAAGGGCACTGAGTCAGGAATCCAGGAACTAAATCAGTGGAGTTGGGAAGGAGAGGGAAGAACGGCAAGATGGTAGAATGAGGCAGAGGAAGGGCCAAGTGCAGCCATTTAACTTCCATTTAAAAAAGTGTGTCGCTGTAGGTGTCAGTATTCCTTGACTCAATGTGCCTTAAAATAATAAAACACGAACATCCTGGGATTGTGCCCAAAGTCCTCCACGATTTAGTTCCAGTCTAAGGTGTTCATTCCCTCTCTTGGAACGTCACCAGAACCCTTTCATAATCCATCCTGTACGCCAAGGATGCCTGGGTTTACCTGCTGGAAGCAGCTGCGGACACTAGGCTCAATATTACTTCCTCCAAATGCGGCCACTTCTCCCAGCTGCCGAGGAATCTGGATGGCATCATGAAGTAACAGGCCAAGCTGGCGCTGATCACACATCTCTGTTGGCCCTGCCACCTCCTTAAAGAGAACTATTAAGAGGGAGAGGCAAGGGGTTAACTTCCACCTGCCCAGAGCATTCTTTCATTCAAAGTACATCTTCAGTAATGTGGATTGCACTGTATATCTTAAAAAAAAAAAAAAAAAAAAACAACACCACAAAAGCCAGGCCCTGGTGGCTCACACTAGCAATCCTAGCTATTCAGGAGACTGAGATCTGAGGATGGCGGTTCAAAGCCAGCCCGGGCAGGAAAGTCTGTGAGACTCTGATCTCCAATAAAACCACTCAAAAAACCAGAAGTGGCACAGTGGCTCAAGTGGTAGAGTGCTAGCCTTGAGCTGAAGAGCTGAGGGACAGCATTCAGGCCCAGAGTTCAAGCCCCATGAACAACCAAAAAAAAAAGACCACCACCATATTCACCATAAAAGAATCCATAGGTGTATATCAATACATAAAGACAGATCAATACAAACTTCCTTTTGGGGTGTGTGTGCTGATGCTGGGGCTTGAACTCAGAGTCCTATGACCTAGCCTGACTTTTATGCTCAGGGCTGGAGCTCCACCATTTGAACCACACCTTCACTTTTGACTTTTTTTGTGGGTTTAAAACAAGAATCTGATACTTTTCTGCCTAGGCCAGCTTTGAACCTTGATCCTCAGATCTCAGCCTCTTGAGTGGCTGTGGTGACAGGCATGAAATATTGGTGCCTAGCTACAATTTCCTTTCCAAACAATACAATAAATACACATGGGTTAATTTTTTATGGTCTCAACAAGAGATGCCCTTGAGAAAAAAGAATGAGCCAAAACAAAGCTTCATGATTTATCAAGAGAATGAAAGTTCTTTAAGTAGTGTACCTTAAAATTTTAATGATTTACCAACTTTGTTTCCTGCTAAATTCAATATTCTATTATATATTATAGATTTCTAAAAATATTTCTGTGCTCATGCCTATTTGTATAGGAAACACTAAAAAATAAGGAAGTATGTCCTTTTCCTTTTTAGGGTAAGTCTCTCATTCCTTATTATATATAATGATTAATTATATATAATTAATTAAATATGAAAAATTATATACAAATAATCAATTATGTATAAATGAGCTGTTTTCTATCATTCAAGGAGACTTTTTCCCCAAATTTAAAAGCATTAAAAAGTTGTGCATCCCTTCTTTCTTTAGCTTTTGTAATTACAAACAACCAAAAAACCCCACAAAAACCAAAAACCTACACTTTTCTGTTTTCTAGGTTTCATAAATCATTGAAATTAAACCTCTCCTTCCAGCACTGATTTATTTTTTATTCACTTACATACTGTGCTGTCAAAAGATTAAATTTGTTATAATGTTTCCAACAATAAAGTTAATGCAGTAGGATAAGTTACTTTTGGAACAGGGAGAAACTTCAAATACAAATAATCCATTGCATTAGAGAAATTAATAATCTTTTAAAAAGAGTGTTCAAGGTTTAATCATTTAAAAGCACATGCAATCTCAATGCTCTTCATGTGATTTAAAAAAAAATCTATTTGAAAATAATGCCTGATAAGTGACTAACAGACAAACATGTATTAATGATGCGAGATCTAACGCTGACGACAGTGACATTTCCAACAACTGAACCAAGCTCAGTGATAGACGGTCATTATAATGAAATATATTTTTAATCATAAGCATACATGGGAAGAACAAACTCAATCAAGATTAATTTAATTTTTATTTCCATTCATTCACTTAGATATGCTCAGTGTTCCACTTGTTTCTTTTCATTATTTAAGAATAAGTCTATGATCAGTCAAAACGTATCTATCCATGCATCTTAACATGGTGCTCATTGTCAGTGCATTCCTGGGATGTGGTTTGCTCAATAAATCCAGAGTTGATGCACAAGCGCAATAATCAGTACAGAGCAACTGTTCACACTTTCAGATTAACCATGCTCAACTTCTTCTCTACACTGAGGGATATAGTTATGTGGTCAGGCCACACAGAAGGTAAGACTACTCACACCATGTAAAAACAGAAGGGTTTCCTTGCACATTGAGATATACAGTTCCGCTAAATTCTTATCGAAGTTACAATTTTAAAACATTATAGTCAGGTTGAAAAAGGCAGACAGATCAAAAGAATGGGTTATCGAGAGAAATCATATCTCAAACCCAAATTCCAAGAAATTAGCACAAAAGAGGTCCAAAGTGGCCTCTTGAAAGAATGTTCTGCTAATCTGCTTTTGGCAAGGCCAAAAGGCCACTCAGTGGTAAGCACAAGGAGCAGGGAAGATCAGAGCAGACTTCAGGCTGTCCTCACGAAGTCACTGAGAGAGAGTAAGCTGTCACTGGCCAGAAGATATTGACTTTGGAAACTGCAAAATCAATGTTCACACACATTCCAATTGACCCCCAAATGGCACCTCTGCCATTGAGTTTGAAGAGCAAATTGCCTTGAATATTAATCCTAACGAAGGAAATCATGAGGTGATCTGTTATCACTGGGGAAATCAAAAAGTGGAATCTGAGTTGCTCAGGGCCTGCATGCAAAAGTAAAAGCAAAACGTGGAGCATTTCACCTCTCAGTATCCAAGTAAAGATTTAGATTAAAGATGGCAACCTAGGAGAGTTCTTATTTAATTAAGTTCTTAAAATAGCACATGTTGTGGGTTAAACTATATAGCAGGAAATTTCATTGTAAGGAGCCTCTGCTTCCCCTGATCATTGAATGCTGTATTATGGACAGAGCAGGCTTTGTGCCTGAATTTGCATTTCTTTCCAAGTAAGTTCAGAGCCATGACTGTTACCTTCAGAGAATCCCAATTCTTTCGGGACCACGTGAAAACCTCAAAGCATAGATGATGAAAAATGCCTTTTCTAATTTTGGAACGCTGATGCTCTCATTAACACTTTTCTCTCCCAATCATGGTAGAAATGGTAACTTTTCAGCTTTGGAAAGTTTGAAATTTCTTGGCTGTGGTACAGAAGACTATCTGATTTCTGGATAAGGTACCACAAAACAAAAGCCTTTATGCAATTTATTTTTATTTTTCCAATTGGCTTCCTAGGTTCTTACTCTATCAAAGCTCCCCACCTCTTAATCTTATGATCAGCTTTTCCTTTTCACACACAAATCTATATCCTCTTTTTCACTGACATTCTTGTCAACCTAGGCAAAGAAAATCAAGTCATGGTGTTCTTGACTTGAAACTCAAAATTAAGTGATCTCACAGACATCCTAATTCCTTAGCACTGGCCCAGTTGGGAGAAGGAAGGATTTGTTTTCTGGGTTCTGGGAATAGAACCCAGGCCTTGTGCCTACTGGGCATGTGATGTATCACTGAGCTGCAACCACAGTCCCTCCTTTTGTTTTATGACACCCTATCATGTATGAGATGCACCTCTCCTCTAATGCACAGATTTAATCAACTGGGTTTAAACATGGTGGCACCAGATAGGTCACATTTTACCAACAAAATTTTATCCAAAGACAAATGTTGACAGTTAAGAGTATGGAGACTGCAGTAATTATTAACGGGGATGGCACTTTGAAAAATAGGAACTTTAACTCTTTTCTAAGGAGACATTATTACCTTCATTTTTCAGTGGAAGAAAATGCTCTAAATTTCAGCTTCCTACAGGATAAAAGGGGAGTAAGTCACTCCTTGGCTAGCCAGGGGTTAACTCCTTGCTAAAGGATTGAGAAACCTGCTCAACACCCCAAGCCACGATGCAGTGGACATTTAAAGGGGACCCTCTTCACTCTTATGCACATGACCTTTCCAATATCAGCTTAGCTTCCATCAACTCACAGCCGAAGGGGGCATAATTAGTTTATTTGAATGATAATGAATGAACAAAGAAAATTAAAAGCATTCATCATCTTATTTTGCTGCAACTATAAAATGTAACTATTTAGAAAGAGCACATCTGTGAATCACATTTGCAATCCTGGAGACTGAGACCCAGAGGATCTCTGTTTAAAGCCAGCCCAGGCAGAAAACTCAGTGAGACTCTGTCTCAACAGTAACCAGCAAAAAGAAGAGCTGAGGGTGTGGCTCATGTGGTACAGCACCAGGAGCATGCAAGCTGCGTGAGTTCTAGGCAGGTCCTGAGTTCAAACCCTAGTGTCACCAAAAAAGCAAAAATAAGGATATAAATAAGAAGGAAAAAAGAAAGAATCAGCATTTGCCTATATCCATAAAAGCTGTCATCCACTTTTAAGGCTAAACAACGCACATGTGCAGAAGCAGGGAACATAGCCTAGTTATAATCACCAAGGATCCCGCTCTAGCCCCATGAGTTTGTGGACCCTCAGCCTTTGACTGGACTTTCAATCTAGTTCAGCATCAATGTTTCCAGCTAGATGACGGGAATCATAATACCTACGTTGTGGGGAAATTATTCTAAAAATCAAATGAGATAAAAATTTGTCATTAGTTCCCACTCCATCAAAGCACCTGGTGCTTGGGGTCCTGGAATCCACTTTTCATTCACACACATCTGTCAAAAAATACCATCATCTGTGCAACTTAATACATACATAGCAGGCATTTAAAAAGTGTGATGTGTTATTGGCAAATCAAATAAACTAAATTCCCAGTGAATTGCTATGATCGTTACAACTACTAAAAAATACTGTTAGTTACCAAAGGTCATACATACATCTGTATTTTTCTTCTAAGAGACCTTTGGAGAGAGACATCAATCCAATCTTCAAACTCTGCACTCTAATTTTTCCAGTCCGGCCCCTGAAATTATAAGAATCTCAGTCTGTTAGATGCATTTAAAAGGGAATAAAGTATACTAAATACTTATTTTCTTGAAAGCAAATCATTGAAAAATAACCACATCTTCATGGGAAAACCTTTCTATTCACTTTTAACAATTCATATGAAATCTACAGCTTAGCATTGTTACATAGTTAACAGTACATCTGGCCAAATCGGGAGAAAGACTTAGTTTGAAATCATTTCACACATAACATATAACCCAAGAAGAACAAATTAAGACAAAATGAGGGAAATAACTATATAGCTGAAAAGATTTTACTTTAAAAAACCCTATGACAATCTGCAAATAATTACAAATACAATAATTTAAATAAACTGCTAAAGTTATACTTAATATGCATGCAACTTAACACACCAAGAAAAAGCTACTGACAAAGCTAGAATCAAATGTAAGAAAAATGAAAATTTTATTATCTTCATTTCCTTTAATATCTATTGATGCAGTCTATAAATTACTACTTCAATTTTAATCATTGATGATCATAAGCAACCAGGTGTGGAAGCTGTATTTGGAGCAGTATCAAAGTATAATTAAAAAGGGAATGTATTAATTAATCAACATTAGGAAATATTTTTTCATTATGTCAATGAGACATCATTTCAATTTCTTTCTTTCTTCCTTTTCTTTTCTTTTTATTGCTAGTCCTGGGGCTTGAATTCAGAGGCTGGGCTCTGTCCCTGAGCCTTTTGTGCTCAAGGCTAGCACTCTACCACTGAGGCACAGCACCACTTGTGGCTTTTTCTGTCTATGTGGTATTGAGGAATTGAACCTAGGCTTCATGCCTGCTAGGCAAGCACTCTACCACTAAGCCACATTCCCAGCCCCACAATTTCATTTTAAAAAGTTGATCAGAAGAAACATTTGATCTTTAAAAGTAGAGAGTTAGACTTGCAGTATTTCTCAGAGAATTACTAACTTGTTGAACAAATGTTGGCCGTGGGACCAGGTCCTGGGGATGGGAAAAATTAGTAGTCATTGGTATTTCCAATAGAATAACACACTGTTTGAAAAAATGCTTATTATGCCTCATTATATCAGATTCAGGCTCTGTTTTCAGTTTAGGGTATTATTGTTAATTTTCTCAGGCTGTATTTTCTATCCACAAGTACAGTAGACCTAAAATCTATGACCAAATGTTTATTATATAGGACGCAGTAACTGATGCTATTTTAAAACTAGATAAACAGACACATATGTAACTAATTTTATTTAATTTTTATAACTAATTTAAAATAGTTTATTGCAAAATTATACTTAGGTCTTGATTTTATTGGCATTTTACTCATGTACTAATTAATATACATGTTCAAGCTAGTTTCTGCCTACTTAACATGATACGTAAAATTAAAATTATTTAAAAATGAAAGCATGCTGATGGATTGGCAGGATGTATTTCCAAAGTAGTTTCTCAGTAGTTTAGAGTTTGTAATTATACTAAATGATATTGAGGGCTGGGCATGGTAGTATACACCTCTAACCACCAGGTACTCATTGGGCAGACACTAGAGGTTCATGGGTCAAGTAAGTGAGATCCTATTTCAAAAGCAAGCCAGGCATGGTGGCACATGCCTATAATTCTAGCTCCTTGGGAGGTGTGAAACAAGTCTGCGGAGATATACTAGCCTGAAAGATGAGTTTGAGGCAGACAGTACAAGGTCCCTGGGTATCAGGGCAACAAGTGATGTACTTCTTTATGATTACTACGGCAACTCACTGGTAAGCCTAGATCCTGAGATCTCCTGGCTTTCAAATGCCTGAGACCTCTAAACAGTGCTGAAGGATTACCAGAGCTTACTGTAAAATTCCTGGGGCCAGAAGCCCTGATAACGAGGAGTTTGCTTGACTGAGCAGAGCCTTACTCAGTATGTACTGTCCCCATCAGGAGATGGAGACAATGACCCTACAATGACCTTTTTGTCCCAGGATGCACAGGACCTCACGGGAGGACTATCCAATCTCTATAAAGAGCATGCACCTCATCACTCCAAGTTCATAGGATGCACAGATGCACAACTGTGACATCAGCACCACTTGTCCATCAGCCTGGCTATCAGAGTTTGCACCAAATGAAGGATGACTCACACTCCACCCAATGACCCATCTGCCCAACAAAGGAAGATAGGAATGCTGCCTTGGGCAGCGGATGGCTGCTGCATTTCAGCTCAGCTCTCCTATGCACCTCCTGGGTGTATTTCACTGCTACCAGTCTGTGTTCAGCTCTCTTCTTTGTTGGGGATAAAGAGCCCCATGAGAGACCCCATTCCTGGCACCCTCACCCAGTAATATGCATAGTCCTTCCTGCTTTCCTGTACCCTAAAGAGGTGCCATGTAATCTCCTTTCTGTCATATTCTTTCCTAATAAGTATTCTTGTTACTTTTACTATACCCCTCATCTTGCCTGAGTTCTTCTCTTGCAGCATGAGAAGGACTGAGATTGACGGCTGCACTGACATTCCATGAAAAGCTCAGTCTTCATTTCTGGGCCCAGAATCATATCCAAAAATTTATTGAACCCTGACATGAATATGTATAACACTCAGAATTAATTTATGAACTAGCTAACACTTATATGCTGAAATGAATATGGCTGTTGTAAACACATTTTCCATTACAATACTCAGTCCTAGGTTCTTCCAATGGAAGAAATATGCTCCAAACTAACCCAAAGCTGAACAGCTTATAAATTGTGATTCAATATTTTTCATGAGTTTCCTAATTCACATGACAATGCTAGTTTTCTTCCTTTCCAAAATCAGAAAGTTTTGAATCCTCTGAAAAGAAACCACAGATGAGAAAATAACAAAAGGCCATTAAGTGCACAGAGAGACCAGAACAGGAATATGGCCACAGGCAAGGCAATCTCTTAGGGGAAAAATGATCTCAATGATTGCATGCCTTAAAGTATGATGCTAGTCTATCCAGACAGTACAAGAAAGAAACATCATCAGGAACACAATAAAAAATTTCACCTGTCCATGCACACACTACCAGCAGGAACAAAAGCTTATTGTAATCCCAGCGTTGTTTTATGCACTGATGACACACAAAAAAAGCAGAAGACATGATTCCTACCCACAACAAACTCACAAACAAGCAAGGTAAAGTAAGATAAGAAAACAACGTAAGAGAAAACACAAGATCAAATTTCATGTATGGAAATGAAGAGCCAGGATGGGATCCTCCTGGCTTAAGAGATTAGTGCGTAATCGAAGGTAAGTGGAAAATCAGTTATCCACGGCAAGGCTGGAATGCCTCAAACAGAAGGGAGACAAAGGCCAAGTGTGAGCAAGAGACCCAGGATGACTAAGGTGGGGGAGGATGAGTATACCAGGCAGCGGAAGGATGGCATTTATCATACGAGGGCTGCAAAATGCCTTGAAACACCAGAGGACAGACATGTGTATTTCTTGTCAGCTGTTCACGATATTGATCATTTTGTATGACTCGTAATGATGTTATAAATATCCAATAGTCCTTGGCCAAAAACAAAATACAAACAAAATAAATCAGAAAAACATCCCCCACTTCTGCCAGGTTCTGTTGGGCCATGAGATTGAGAGTTCTGGTGTCAAGAATGACGCTTAAATGTGATGGATGACAGCGAGCTGATAAAAATGACCAGTCAGTAATACAGTGCACTGTCCAAGCATTTGCTTTCCCTGATAGTTTTGTAACTATTGTAATAATTTTAGCCAGAAGAATAAAAATCTTTCGAATCATACGCGTTTTAGAGTAGAAAGGAAAATGACCTACTGCAACATAGTCATTATAGAGGAAAGAAATGTAAATGAATACTCTAGATGACTGCTTTAAATGATGATTTAAATGCTTCTAATTTCCATTATTTCTAGAAGGACGATTGGAAAATTAATGCTTTTTAACCTGAGAAGATGAAGACTGAGAGAGGCTGTGGATTTATAAATGAAATCAATTTTATCTTTCTATCTTATAAAGGTTTTTTGCATATATCAGTTCATTTGCCCTTCATCATCACCTTTTGTGGGGTAGGATGGCCAGATATTTTTATTTCGGTTTTAAGATGTGAAATTGAGTTACCAAAGTTAAATGGCTGCCAAGTCTCCAAGCAAACAGACACAAATATTTGGGGGCAACTAATTGAGGATTTTTTTTAATTTCAGAGCATAGTTCAATTCTATCTGACCAAAAAATTTAAAAAATATTAAGAAATCCATGAGCAATCTGCCAGCAAAGTAGGCAGAACAAAAAAATTTGAATTCTTATTCATGATAGATAATGGTTTTCTCACAAAATTGAGACTATGAAGAAGAGTTAGGTAAATGTTAAAGGTTGAAAGATTTTCTTTGTCCTAGATATGGCCATAACTAGAAATAATGAAGTGATTAGAAAAAAAATCTCAAAATCAATTCCATAACTATCATTAATATGTACTATGTGGTTGTGGCTAAATCAGTTTATCTCATTCTGACAGTTCTTCAATCAGTAAAAATAAGGACGGCAAAAAAATAGAAGATGCCCAGAGTCTTTCCACTTAGACAATTCTACAATCTACTGTATTTGCACCACCAAGTATTTCAAAAGCAAAGCTGAAGCCAGAAATGAATGCCTGCCCTAGTCGTATTATACTACATACAATAATGTCATGTCAAAAATACATGCTAATGATATAGTTTGGCTCTAAAACCTCCTTTGTGGCCTGTGTCTTCAAAGATTTGCTCCCTAGTTGGCACTTCTTAATGAGAGCTTGGGCTACTCAGAGGTCTCTGGATCATTGAAGGCAGGTTCCACGGGATGGAGGGACCTGTTGGTCTCTTCCTCTTTCTTTCACTTCCTGGCCATGAGATGAGCAGTTTTGCCTCATCCTGTGCTCTTGCCATGACACGCAGGCTCATCCAAAGCCATGAGCTCACGGATCATAAAGGAAAATCTCCCAAACTGTCATCAAAATAAACATTATCTCTATATAAGTGAATAATCTCAAGTATTTCTTACGAAACAATTCATGAAGGTCAAGCTCCCTGAGTGAAAAGGTACATTTCTAAGGTCCACAGACTTTGTAAGGGTATACAGTGAACTCATACACTAGAAGCAGTAGATCATAGATTCTATTAGGACCATGGCTTGAATAAAGTTAATAGCTGTTGTTTGATAAATGAGTGAGTGATAGCTAAAAAAGAAGCCTAGGCAATCAACCACAGACATCTGAGATTACTATTAAAAAATGAACTGTTTTTCCTTATTTTAATCCATGAATCTGTTCTCCGGGATTGAATGCCAGGCTGAAAAGTCACCGTTGAGATACTGAAGGATCTCTACAATTTTTTTTCTTTGGTATGGAGAAAAGATGAGTCCTGAGAATATTTTTTCCTCTTTAAAATGAAAAAAGAAAAACGCCAAGATACTCTTATAACTAAATAGGAAATTGTACTTCTGTGTAAGATTTCCATGTGTCCACATCTGATGGTGAAAGGACATCTATACTGACAAGAGCTCCCTAGAACAGAAATTCGATTTCACACACTGGTTACTACCCCAAAAACTGCACACCTCCCTGAGGCTGCCCATGAAAACAGCCTGTGTGGGGGTTGTAAGCTCCCACGCCCTCCAAAAGTACCTTGACTCCATGATGGGGGTGGAAGGGGTCTTTACAAATGTAATTAAAAGTTAAAATGAGGACTTTAGGGTAGGCCATAATCCAGTATGCCTGGTGTCCTTGTAGGAAGAATAGAGGAGTACACCGTCAGTACAAAAGGTGATAACCATTTCTAAGCCAAGAAAGAGATGCTTCAAGGGATGGGGGGAAAGCAAAATCCACTGACACTTGGACTCAGACTGAGAGCCCTAGATATGTGCAGAAATGATCTGTTATTCAAGCCACACAGTCAGCTGTGCACTGTTTCAGCAACCCTGATAAAACCACTATGGTGTGTCTCTACCAACCCAGAGGGTGGTGGATGATTCCTTTAACATCTCCAAATTGTCCTTTAAGAGTGACTCAAATCTCCACTTCTACCATACTTTGTAAGGACCAATGGAACTCCCAAACATGTAGTCTATGAATGTAGCATTCTTCTTGGGTTATGAACCTAAGTTATGGGCTTCTAGAGTTAAAATATTTAATTGACAACTATTTTGGTGAGTTTACTATAGAAAAAAAATGTCTCATGAAGATTTAAAAAGTTGAAGAACAAAATGAATGTTGGATTAATGCTAATGGTATTATTTTACCCTAGGAGAATCAGAAGTGAATATTAAGATGCAATGCATTCAAAGATATCAGACAGGCATGTAATAAATTCCATAATCACTATGGCAATTGACATTCATGCTTCTGTGAGTTACTTGGGATCCCTCAGGCACACAAGGGCTATTTTATTATTTAAAAAGAAGACTTTATAATATTAGGGAACATCAAGAGATGAAAATTTTTTTCTCTAATGAAAAATATAAACATACTTTTAGATAAATCATCTCTAAAGCTATCATCATCATTTATTTCTTATACAGAATCAATCAGCTGCTAAACATGTTTGCATTTATGAATAATCATCTATCTTCTTTCTCCCTAAATCAAATAAAAGGCTGCAAAAGGATGCAAATTTTCCTATCGTTAGTTAATGGAAAATGCTTTTAGATTCAGCTCTAATTTTCTTATTTCAATTTTGCATACTTCAGCCCCCTACTAGAAGAATGAATAATTCCCTGAGTTTCAGGAATGCCAGCCCATAGCAAGTCTTTCTAAAACTGATTACTTCAGAAACACATTGTCATAATCATAAGGGCGAAATTAATGGCAGATGAGTTATACTGGAAATTGAGGGCGCTCTTTATGTAACAGTGAACAACTAATTAAATTACAGATGTTAGAGTGTCCTGTGGTATCAATTATGCATAAGTACCATATATACATACAACCACCAAGGTAATAAGTAAAGCTAATTCCAAAAGACAAATTAGATTTCATTCACTGCCTTTCAAATCACCCCTAATTGTCATACAAAACTGTAGAGAAGACTAGAACTAATAAATTATTTCAATTCACAACAACAAATTCACATCTTCTTTTAAAAAAACAATAGTATAAGATATTAAAGGAAAAGGAGAAGAAAATCAGATGTGGCCATCACGTATCTGATCTAGTATTTTAAAATAATGGGTGCATTTTCTTTTTTGTTCTGTTATCCAGTTGTGAGTTTGGTATTTGGAAAGCTACCTATTTTCAAATTTCCACTGGAAAAAGTGCTATGAGATTTTCTATTAAAAATATTATTTCACTTAATGATTGCAATTTAATAGGGAAAAAAACACAGACTTACGTGTCGTATACATTGAGCAACCAGTTGAGACACATGTCCACACAGAGTGGAACGTTGACCAGGTCCTTATGCAATTGTTCAAGTCCATCATAAGTTGTGGTCAGACAGTTGATGACATCTGGGACACTAAGCAGCTGGTCATTTTGATTCAGCTTGTGCTGTTTGAAAACTTCATTTGTTGTATTCAGCTCTAGGAGATCCACTAATCAGGTGAGAAAAAGGATTATGTACAGTCATTGAATTGTATAACAACACTAAGAAGAAAGCATTTTCTAGTCTCCAGTACTTATCTTCAGTCTTCAATGTTTGAATGTACTCTTTTCATTTTTTAGTTGGTAAAGAAACAACAACCTTGGGCTGGGAAGGTGGCTCAGTGGTAGAGCGCTTGCCTTGCATGCAAGAGGCCCTAGGTTCGATTTCTCAGCAGCACATAAGCAGAAAAAAAAAGCTGGAAGTGGCGCTGTGACTCAAGTGGTAGAGCACTAGCCTTGAGCTGAAGAGCTGAGGGACAGCACCCAGGCCCAGAGTTCAAGCCCACGACCGGACCCCCCCCCAAAAAAAGAAACCTTTCCAACTTTCCCTCTTATCAACATTTTCATGCTTTTTTAAAACCCTCTTTTCCCATTTTCTGATCATTAGTATTTGCTCATTAATGAACATTAATGTTCCTCTTTTTTTCTTTTCTGGCTTCCTCCTTTCTAGGATCTTATAAAAAATAATATAGAAAGGCATAAGTCTTTGAATCCATTCCAAATGATGGAAGATCTCAAGAACTCCATCGCTCTCCTTGTCCTAACTCCTAGCAGACTACATGTTTATTGCTTCTTAATTGTCTTTTATGCCCCAGTAATTTTATTTTACATTTTCTAAATTCATTTTAACTGATACATAAAATATAAATTTTGTACATATTAATGGAGTACTAAGTGTTGTACAATGTTTTAGTTAGGTTAAATACATTTATCTCCACAAATATTTTTTTTCAAATAGGGAAAACATTCAAAGTGGTTTTTCTAGTTGTTTAAGATTCAAAGTCCATATTGTTCTCTTTCGTTACTCTCTGGTGTACTAGCATACTGGAACTTTTTTTTTTAATTTTATTTTATTTTATTTGTGAACATACTGTACAGAGGGGTTACAATTGCATGGGCAGGATAATGCGTACATTTCTTACCAAGCATTGCAGCCTCCTCCTTTGTTTACCCTTCCCATCCCTTCTCAGCCTCCCCCCTCCCCCCATCCCAATTCTTCTCCTTCCCCCCTCCCCCCCATACTGGAACTTTTTAACTCTTACTCAACTATAACTTATACAAAGACTACCAACCATCCTTAATACCACAAGCAAACTAATGATTCTTCAGGTGCTTCTAACATGTATAACATGATGCTCAGTTTAAAAAAGACAAAAAGATAGGTTTTCCAGAAATGTAATAGATCTTCACCACTTGACGAAAGTCAAGTTGGAATCCAGCCCGATCAAACACAAATCTGTGCTCAGTCTGGTTTACGTATCATGTGTCCTATGATGGTTGGTTACGGGCTCAGAGAACATGGTCTCCACATATTTATTTGCTTCCATGCGCAAAACATCTCTAGTGTGCCAAGGCAGTGCTATGTGTACAGTGTGCAGAGTGGTCCCAAAGACATCTGGATAACTAAAAGGGGAATAAAAGTGCCCAGAGAAGAATGTATAAATGTCTATGGGAGCTAATATAGGATAACAATCCGTCAATGAAAATGCTTTGGACCAGATATCCTACTGATATGGACGTTTCTGGAGTTAAGGATCTTACGGGGATGAGACCTAAGTCCAAATGCAGAACTTACTTAGGCTTCATATGTACTTTATATACCTAACTCATGGTAATAAAAAAATAAAACCGCAACAACAATAATAAAGACAAATACTCAAATACAAAACATAAAAGTCTAGTCAACAGGTTAACCTATTTCCTTCAGATATTGAAGATACAACAGAACCACCTGCAATTTCCATTGTGATTTTTCTACTATTTTGGTATTCTACATTGTTTCCGAATATGAACCTCTGGAGAGCAGTAGCAATATTCATTCTCTCCAGGGCAGGCTAATGGGCAGTGTTTAGTAACGAAAGCAGCCACAGAATTAGGATTCCCCATGGACTTCAAGAAATGTATTCAAATGTTGCTAAAATGTTCTAAACTCTAAGAATATCAGCACTCATGAGGCCAGAAACACAGCACTGCTATTGGACCCCACAGGCCATCAAGTGACAACAGACCATATCCTAGCTCAAGCTGTCCTTCGTTTCCTTCCGAGATGTCTCTGTTGTTATACTCTGCGGCACTGACAGTAATTTGCCACAACCCACAGCCTATTGTGTCTTCAATTTTCAGTGATTTACTCTGACACGCTGCCTAAGCCAGGCATACATCTTCCTGAAGAGTGTCACATTTAGGTATCTTTAAAGAACTGACTACATTTAAATCACAGAAAATTATGATTTTTTTTGTCTTCTCAAAGAAAGAGATAAATGACAGCTCAGCCATGCGGTAAATGAAACAAACAACAGAGTCATTTCCTAAGCAACTTTCAGACCTTTTCTTTTCTCCCACACAGGAGGCATGGGGAGCAAATGGAAATACATCATCATTCTCTGTTCTGCACAAAGACACTGAACATTACGCTGCACTTGACCTTTGGATTCTTTGCCTTCTCAGGGTTTGCACAGTTGACTTGTTCTTTCTCAGCATCCTCTTCCAGAGCTTCAGAACCACAGCTGGTGCTCGAGGTTTCAGGCTTGGCACTTTAACTCTGTAGGCCTGATGGACTCATTTACTTCATCATTTCCATGATGCCTTCTCTCTCCACAACTCCCAAATCCCTTTCTTCCCACATAGCTCTTGGTTGAATAGGAGATCCCCATTCCTGTGCTACAGTCCCCTACCAGATCTCTACCAATCTCCCTCAGAAACCTCTACCTTACTGGGGTCCAAATAAAGGTCTTACCTTCTTCTTGAACTGAAATCCAACCTGCATGTCTTGGCATTTCATAAGACCCTCTTTCCTTCACCATCCACAACTTATCAACAGCTACCCTCACTACTTCCTTCTCAGACACTCATAAATGGAGCTCTGTTCTTCCTACTGCTACCAGCTACCAGATCAGCTTTAGTCTTCTTACCTTGGAACTGTCCACTCATCCCATTCCCCCCATTCTTGGAACCTTGGGTATTATTTCACATACATTCACCTCTTGGCCCTGTCCCCAAACTTGCACCGAAAAGAATTGTACAGCCATGAAGCAAACTTTACAAGCATTCAAAACAACATGGAGAGCTCAAGGATCAAAATGCAATCAGAAATCATTTCTGCATTGATCCAAACTGAATGCAGGGCAATTTCTGGACATGGGATAAATAGCTATGTTATTTCGAATGGATCCCATGTATAATCCTCTATTCTCATCTCTGATTATGAGTCACACGCATTGATCTCATGTGGCTTTTACAGCCTGGTTTATATGCATGTTACCTGAGGACATTAACCTGGTGGTTATCAGAAGAACATTTCTCTGCTGTTACTTGTTACAGAAGTTTAAAATATACACAAAAAAGAATATGTACATGTGTATAAATGATACATAGGTGTGGTTTGAAAAAAGAAAGTAATAGAAAATGCCCCATTCATCAACCATGCAGCTAAAGAATCAGAAAGTTACCAACGTTATGGAAACCCCTTAGAAATCCTCATAACCTCAGAGGTAATAACTAATCCTTGCCTTCTACTTTTGGTTCTTAAAAGTTATTTGTGTCCCTAAGTAGCTTGGCTTTTAACTATATAGAAATAGTATTAAACTGTAAAAATTTCTTCTGACATTTGATTTTTGTTTCCATTCGGTTTTACAGTTCTAACATTCACCCTGCTGATGCTTTTTTCTAGGTTACTTGTTTTATTTTTATTTTTTTGCTGAAGTAGAACATTTATTAATATGCCAACATTAAATAAACTTTGCTACTAACCAGCACCAGTACTGATCTTGCATGTATCTTCTGGTATATATACTCCTACACAAACTCTACAGCATATCATTTACTTGCTCTGCACCAAAGATGGTATGAGACCCTAAGAGAGCATGCCGAGCAACGAGCTCTCTCCTTAGAACATTCCACTGAGGAGGATCCACACTCAATGAGAGCTGACCGCACCCTTCTCCCCAGAGCCAGGACACCCCCCCACACAAGACACTATCACCCACAGCAAACATATGTTGCTCGGGTGACAGATTGTCATTATAAGCTGCTGACAAGTACTGGAAAAATCGAAGGCAGGAGGGATGAGCTGGAAAATATTTCCAAGAGGTCAGATTTTAACAGAATCTGGAGGAATAAAGGCTTACGGACCCGTGCAAAGGGAGGGACATTTCAAGTAAACAGAAAGGACAAGAGAAGAAGGAGCTGATAAACCATCAGTAGATGGCTAGAAAAGTGGCAAGCAGGCCCCAGGCTAGACAGCTGGTGGGGTGGGAACCAGAAGTGAGGAGATAATAAAGCCAGTGGTTACAAGGATGTGCCTGGCCTTGGGGGTTTGAGATCCTATGCAAACCAATGGCCAGGTGCTCTGTACTGTAGACGTTGAAGTCTTCTCTTCCTTTCTGGTTTGAGAGTGAGGTGAAGGAGGGAGCTTTTTTTCTTTAGGGATCAGAAGAACCAATGGAAGAGAATAGCAAATCGCATGTATTTGCTTCTCTACCAAAAGTATCACTGAAAACTGGGACCACATTTACAACAGTCTTCAGTGGAGATTTTGTGGCTGAGTCATTTGTCCTCATTTTATAGCCCACTGGGTTTGGAAAGACCTTCCAGACTTGTCAGCTGGGATACTGGACACACATTTGAGCCTCTTCCAAAAGTGCTGTCACCACAGACTTGCTGAGCAGACCCAACAGCCTCTCAGTGGCTGTAACTTACTTCCTATTCTCCTCTTGTTCAACATAGCAATGGCTAGCCAGAGCAAGCTGGCTCCCAGGTTTTTGAACAGGCCATTCTATAATACTTTCTATTAACCACTATAACCTGCCAATTGCCTTTGGGACTCTGCGGATTACAAGACCCAAATTTAGCTCATTCTTCTTTTCTTAGGCCTATCTACGGGTATTTTCCCAGCCATTTCTAGTTTCCCTTCCAGAAGAACTTAGCTGAACACTTGGCTATATTTTCTGAATGATTTTAAATCTCTACTCAATACTCCCCATGTAGCCAATTTCACATTTATTGCTAATTTCTATCGAATACCAAAAGCAAAAATTTTAACCTTAAGGTAATATTTTTCTGAGGGTAATTTTGTAAGCTTCACTGAGCTGTCTAGGCATATAATGAAAGACATGTCTAGACATTTTAATGAAAGGTAATAAGCAATAATATATGGAAAATTTCAAATTATCCTAGTTTAAAAGTATAAGCAAACACCATTTTCCATGTTAACACTATGACAAAGCCTAAGTGTTCTTTGGAAACACTCAATCATTAAAACTATATGCAGAAATAGAATCAAATTGCTTAACTCTATACTATTAGCATGCATATTTCTGCTTAGTTTTATGAAATTTTGGGATTGAAAATAAACTTCTTGTGAAAATATTTTCAAAGAATACCACTGTGAGCATAACCTCCACAGGGGAAAATTTCACTGATAATATGAAGCACCTTAAGACATATTTTAAATGAAATGGAGATTTTTCTCTAATCTTCTAAGGTGCCTGTTCACACAGGAATCAAAAATGTGACTGTTGACTGTTATTTTATGATTGTATCCAATCAAACTGTTTGGAACTCTACAACTTGTGAATGGATACAAAGTATTAAAAAGGCAATGGCCCACTGCTTTTAATCCTTTATTTAATCCCTATACAGTAGGTGGCGGCACAATTTCTGAAAAAGCTTTTTATGTCACTTCTGTGTTTTTGGTTTATTTTGTACTCCAACCTCAAATAGCATATGTTCGTTTGTTTTACTATTGCATACTGGTGGGCCAAATAACAAAGCATTTTTAGAAATACAGCCAACTTCCTCAGAAAGGTGCTCTGAAACTCAGATTAACTCTACAAATTTATTACTCTCTCCATTTGTCTTTGTCTTTAAAAAAATAAAAAAGACAATCCAAAGAAGAAGGTGATGAACTTTGGTAGAGTAACTCACAACACAGAGCTTTCTGCAGCCTTCGGATTTTGATTGCCGTGCGGTAAGCAGAGAAACGTACATTATTCAGGTCAGCTGAAATGGAAGGAGGAACCATTTAAATAAAGCATGCTTATTACTTAGCTTAGATTGAATGCCAATAATGCATTTGCTTACTTTGGATGATGGAAAAACATTATGCTTATCCACAATAAAAAAAAGTCCTCTAAATTTTCTATTTATGAAAATACATGTTCATAAACACCAAGTTTAGAAACATTTAAAAACAGGGCTAGAGCAGACCTCTCCAAGGAAGAATTTTCAAATATAGGGGTTCAAAATCCCAAACATACCAAGTTCACTGAATCAATGGAGATGGGAAGAGCCTGAGATGGCAGGACTTCCTGGACTCCTCTACTACTCCAGAATTCCTTTCCCCAAAGCAAGTCATAGAAACTGGGCTTCTATTTTCCAGAGCAAACCATCAAACCCAGCAAGGTCATTCTATGACCTCTGCTATGTTCCCTTGAGGATCCTCATAAGACAGGTGTGCTGACTCACCTGGTGGAAAAGAATGCCAAAGAGAGGCCAAGGAGAATCCGAACACACAGGTCTTGATAAACCTCCTTCTCAGTCTATTACTATTAGATTATACCCTCTTGCTTAATTATCGTTCTATGCAATCATCAAACTTGTAAAAAGAAAATGGAGTGTTGACCTGAAGTATTTGGGTGTTTATATCTCAAGGCTCTTGTGTGACATAAAAACTTGGTTAACTAAATTTACTATGCTGTTCTCTAATTAACTTGTCTTATGTGATAAGTGTCAGTCATGACCCTAAAAATAGATAAGCAAAACTATCACACCTATCTGTCCCTAGACAGGAAGAGCAGACAGACAAGGGACAGGAAACTCAACTACTATTTAGGCCTAATAAAGGGGATTCTTCTCTTCTAGAAGCAGCTCTCTCCTAGGACAATCTGTTTTATATTGACCAAATTATCTATCTCACTGCTCACAAAGGTGGTCTTAGTGCCTTGTTCCTTACAGTCTGATCTATTTGTGTCTGTCCTTTCAGAGCTCTCCTTCAAAGGACCCTGTCATAAACCCTCACATCTTTGGAAACAATGGCTGTTACAAATTCTTCTCAGTCCTCTAAAGACAGAATATCAAGAGACTGAGAGGAAAATTCAGAAATCATCAAACTTTACCATTTGACATAAAAAAAAATCTAAGCTTTTTTTTTCTTGCTTGTTCAACTCTGTCAGCCCCTCACCTACTCAAAATGAAAGAGCATGCAGAAGCCAAACATTTCAAGAGACAAAAAGGAGTGATGTGCTCTGGAGTGAAAAGGAACTGGGAGACACACCATGCCGTATTTCCTCTGGAAATCACCAGGCAGGCTAGGCCTCCAGTGGAAAGGCTTAGTCTACTAGAAATTAAAACGAGAGCAGAATGCTCATCAGATATATTAAAATACATTTAGTTTCTCATGATGCACACAAAAATAAATTAGGTAAGCTAATTTGATAAAATGTCTTAAGAAGAAAGCTAAAAGCAAATTGCAAGCAGTGTGTCAGAGGTTCCTGGATTGTCATTATTTAACATGAGTCATTATGAAGAACGGTAAAGCCTACACAACAATTTTCCTCCTGGTACATGGACTGTACATGGCCTAGGCTCTTCTAAACTATGCACTGTCTTCAAGGAAACACCTGTTTTCTTCTGTAAACAAGTAGTTAAAGTTCAACCATGTCCACTGCATAATTTTTTTTCAGTGTAATAAACCATATAACACAAGCTAGTGACTAACTGTATATACATTCCCCCTCCCCACACACACCCTCACACCAGGAAGAGAGGTACTGGAGTTTGAACTGAGTAGCTGACACTTGCTAGGCATGATCCACCTATTTACCATTCTCTACATAGCTGGGATAATAGGACCATTGCCATCATGCCCAATTATTGGTTGAGATAAGGTTTTATTGACATTTATTAACTCAAACTAATTTTTTTAAGTCTCAAATTTCCCAAATAGGATTATAGGTTTGAGCCTTCTTTAAGAGTAGGTTTCACTCATTTAGGTTAATTCATTAGTAAAACAACACTTACCAAGGGACTGAAAGAGTTCAGTCATTTTAGGATGATCCCAACAGGTTGTTTGGGTTTGATGGCTGGGGAAAAAACACAAAATATTAAATATAAGTGAAAGTCTATCAATATAGGACACAAACAATCTATTCTTATGGAGTTTGTTTTTTAAATTTTATTGTCAAGGTGATGGACAGAGGGATTAGTTACATAAATAAGCTAGTGATTACATTTCTTGTCTAACTTGTTACTCCTTCACGTTTTCCCCTCTATCTCTCCCTCCTTACAATCCCCCCTCCCAAGTTGTACAGATCATTTCCAAGATTTTGTCGTGTGAGTATGTCTGTTGCACAGATTCCCCCTTTGTCCTTTGTCTCGCCATTTTGTTGAAAATTTTTAAACATATGTGCAAAGTTTTACCATCATGAATCATTCAGACATCCCAAGTCCAGCTACGTTTTAATAGCATTAATTTTTATTATTGATTATTGAGCAACTTTATATTCTCCTCAGCTTTCCTCAGTAACAATGTTTCTGTATGCAGTAATGTCTCTCTATGCAGTATCTCAATGTTTCTGTATGCAGTAATGTCTCTCTATGCAGTATCTCAGTTTCTTTATGGTCCTTTCTCTCACTTCATAGGCAAGTTTTTTTTTTATTTTATCTTTTTCTGTAAATTCCAAAGCTGGTTTGTACATTAATGGAAAGTCTATAGGGAATAACCCTATAAAAGAGGTAAATGTAGTGCTTAAATGAGTTTCTTTAGTGTCCATGTGTGTATATGTGTATGTGTGGGTATTAAACAGCTTATAACATTGAAGCTTTATATTTAAAAGTAAACTGCCCCTTATCTAGGTCAGAATACAGTTATAGCATTTAATAGTACTCAAAAGATTTCTGAGATGGCACTCCATTCTTACAAAACTGTTAAGTAAGCTCAGTGAAATGCACCATATTCAAGAGAGATGATAGTATTCATAAAAACAAATATAAGAGAAATTATTTGTCTTAATACTTATGTAATATATCAAAAAGTATGGCATGTTCCTAGAAAAAAAAACCAGTCCAGAATAATAACTTTTAGGCATATATGTACACACACACACACACACACACACACACACACACACACACCATACCACACCACACCACACACATACGCAAACAAAAGCATGGCCAGGTGCTGGTGGCTCATGCTTATAATCCTCACTGTTCAGGAGACTGAGATCTGAGGATCATGGTTCGAAGCTAGCCCAGGCAGGAAAATCTGTGAGACTCTTATCTTTAACAAACCACCAGAAACTCAGAAGCGGTGCTGTGGCTCAAGTGGTAGAGTGCTCACCTTGGGCTGAAGAGCTCAGAGGCAGTGCCTAGGCCCAGAGTTCAAGCCCCACATTTGATCCCCCCCACACACCAAAAAAAAAAAAAAAGCATGTTCCTAGAAAGAAAAACAGTCCAGAATAATAACTTTTATATATATGTATATATATATACATATATAAACAAAAGCACCATATAATTCATAATCAAAGATAGTTTTTTTTATTTTAAGTATTCTAGCAATTCTCAAAGTAAACAATATACCAAGAGTCTACAATGGGAAGATGGGTTAGGGGAAGAGCTGGAAAGCTATCTGACTCCTCTACTCTGTTCTGAATTCCACTGAAGAAGGGCTAGGATTTTCACTTGACCTGAGCAGGCAAGAAACACTCCTATCCTTTCTCAACCTACATGGTTTTAAGACCATTGAGTATCTACTAAAGTCATCTGCCCTAAATTCTTACAATGTATAGGGTGACTAAGAGGCTGGTAGAAAATGCAAAAACCTCTGTAAGACAATCCTTCTTACCACCAATAAGAGTAAAGAAGGAATTTGTTGAAATCATTCCAGTGTGTTATGTAGGCTCCTGTCTTGGACAGACTGCCAAGAGTCAAATGAGCTGTTATCTCTTCTTTCAAGTAATTTTGGTCCCCATGGCAATACTACTTTCCAGAGACAGATACCCCACTATGAATTAAAAGAAAAAAATAGCCCAGATTCTCATGAACACAGAGGCAGACTTCATACTTAAGAAACAAATAGAAGGATGCTTTTTCTAGAAGAATGGGTGTGGAGAGCAATCACCTTGCTCAACCCTATGGAACCGCAAGGGAAGAGCACTGCTCTCCAGCCAGGCGCTAAGAATTCCAGGCAAACACCCGCTCACTAATGGCACTCTTTAGTGGAACCAGTCTGGACTGGGAGCAGAGGGAACACAAACATTTGGCAAACAGATGGAGGAAAGGAAATGGCATCTCCTTTGTGAATTCAATACCAGTTGATTCATTAGGCAGAACCACCAATCCTGAAAATAAACACAGCCTCTGGTTATGAAAGAAAAACTGAGGCTTACTAAACAACAGTCAAGGAAAATAAAAAGTAGAACAGGCAGTTGGCCGTGGGATTTTCTTTCTTTCATTCTCTAAGTGGGGGAAAAAGGGTTAGAACAAAATCCACAGTGAACTTAAAGGCTTGAAGTATTTGAACAGCTATAGATTGCTCTTTAGCTTTTGGAAAATGCTTCCAGAAACCCAGGAGCAAAGTAGTATCAACCCCTCCTCCATTCCCCGGTAACAGCTTAGCTTCCAGCTAAATTCATACATGAAGGGGAGGAAAACTTCACTTTGTGCAGTCTGATAAGCTATCCTGTAAAGCTGGAATATTGTGTACAAAAATCCTCTTTTTAAAAGGCAACATAAGCAGGAATCTAAGAATAAAACAAAAACATTAAACAAGCTAACAGAGCAGCAAGGACAAGGGAAGTCCACAATCGTATTAAACCAACAACAGCGAGATGTGACACCCAAGGGGGGTAGCTAGCCATCCCAGTTTTGCCTACATAAGGGGCCAACAATTAGTAGGTATACTGTCAGATTCAAATGATCTTTGAGCTGCTTTAAACTCTGAACACTGAAGACAAGATGAGGGTACATGGTTTTTGTCCACAAGATGCAAACTGTATCCCCTGGAATGCAGCCAATTCTCGTCTTAAGGATCATGTTGCCTTTGTCAGCTTTGCATCTCTAAGGAAATCCCTCTCAGTGCCCCTTACCTAAGATGTGGCACTTTGTCTTGTCCTTGGAGCCCCTGACAACGCCTTACTGCTTCTCCTCATTAGTAAGGTCAAATGTTGCACATGCGTGCTTTGTATTTGTATGAAAGCCAAGACTTTATTTAGTTTGGAAAGTATCCTCCCATACCCCAGACTGACCTTTTTACTACTGGACTGTGCCCAGAGATTATCCATCAGTGATCTGGATTGGTCCTTTTAGGCCATATACATATATATACCAATTTTTATACTAAAATATGATATGTGGAGGGGGAGGATTCTCATGTGGTAACTCCTTTGAACTACTAACGTAACAGTTTATCACAATGAATACCAGGAAGTCAGGATATATATTGAGGGGAAAAGGCATGAAATGAAGGGGGGGAGCAGAGATGGATGGAGAGAGGAAGAGTAGTGGAATACAGTCATAATATTCAGTGTACACAGGTGAAAATGAACCAAGAAGAGAAGGGATGGATAGGATTGAGACTCGGGAGAATGACAGAACGGCCACAGTGATCAAGATGTATTGTACTCAGAATTTGACATGCTGGATGGAAACTCCTTTGTATAAGTACTTAAAGATACGTCTACTACTTCTACTTCTTCTACTACTACTACTACCAATACTACTACTAATAATAATAATAAAAGGAAATTTGTTTAAAAAAAGTTTCCCTTTACTCTTCCATGGCCTTTCTGAGGTAATATATTGTCCCTACACTTTGTAGGCTTTGATGGAATATTACACAGCTAGGCTAATAGTTTATAGCCCTGTTATTATTTAGGAGGATATACTCTGATAAGCCATACAAAGCAATACACAAATAGAATGGCACCATACACCAATAGTTAAAACTCCAAAATGTCACACCCTAACACTGGAGTCTAGTGAGGAACCCAACTCCAGGTGCTTTTGATGAAGAGGATGAATGCTGACTTCTAGGCAAACAACTGCTATAGGAAATATATTTTTGAAGCCCATTTGTCCTCATTATAGGAGTTGTTTTTTAAATTTTTTTTTCTGAAAACTTAAAAGATTTTCAGAAGGTGGCTGGGAAGATGGCTCAGTGGTAGAGCGCTTGCCTTGCATGCCTGAGGCCCTGGGGTCAATTCCTCAGCACCACATAAGCAAAAAGAAAAAAGCTGGAAGTGGCACTGTGGCTTAAGTGGTACAGCGCTAGCCTTGAGCTGAAGAGCTGAGGGACAGCGCCCAGGCCCAGAGTTCAGGCCCCATGACCGGACCCCCCCCCCAAAAAAAAAGATTTTCAGAAGGCATTCTGCTTATCCAAAAGTTGACAAGTAGCCAAATATCCTTACTTCTTACTATCTACCCAATTTTATGCTTGGAACTAGGTTTTCGAAAGCTTGCATTAATCTTGTCATTCCAATTATAAGAACAAAAAGTAAAGGTGAATGAGTTAATTAAAAAAATAACAAATGTGAGAAAACGACATAGTGCTTTTAGGGTAAGACAATCATAGAAAGAGAACACTACTTCTGTGTAGTGAGACGTGAAATATAACACACTGTGTGAGGTCGTATAATGTTCACTATGGACAGTAACATCCCATCATTCTAGAGTTCCAGCTGTACTTTCTATGTGTGAAGCCTCCCTTTCTTTAAGGTCAGCCTCCATCCAACTATAGTGTTATCGTTTAGTGTTATGGTTTAGGCGAAAATGTTACCAGTATTTTATACTTGAAGGAGACTAGGGCAGAGGGGATTTAGATCACTTACCCAAGAGCATATGCAAATAGCAGAAATAGAAATTGAACACAGATGGCTACTGAAGCCTAAACTCCTGATTATGGAAATATATTTGCAAAAATGAAGGCTTTGAAAATATTTCTTGATGACTCTGTCCAAATTTCAGCCTGTAGTCCATCATTACAATCAAAACAACCTCATCTCGCTTGCTTCTCTCCTTCCCTGGGCGAATCCCAGGACTTGATCGGTTCAATCACTTGCATTTTCTGAACCTAAGCAGC